AGACCGAGGCTCTACTGAGGCCTTTCCACGGAGCTAGCTCTGTGGTCACGTGGGTCGGATGCTCATTAATTATATAGAATTTTAGGCTTTTAATACACTTAAACAGAAGAGTGAGAAAAAAATCACCCCCCTCAGAGTTGTCATGAGTGTAAACTTGATCATTTAAACAAAAAACATGTTTTGGTACCAGGCTGTAAACATGTTCATGTCTGCTGTGAAATCGGTATTTTTAACATGGGAGTCAATGAGGATTTGCTCGCTTCTGACACCAGCCCCTAGTGGATGAGGGTGGAACTGCAATTTTTGGTACTTCCGGGATTGCTTCAATTTTGGAGCCGCATTGTGGGGGCTTGGCTGCAACTAACAACTATTTAAATAGTCAACTAGTCAGCGACTATTGAAACGATCAGTCGACTAAATGGATAATTATTACATTTTTCTTAAACTTAGCATGAGATTGCTTTAATTGTGTGAAAAATGATGATAAATCCAAGAAAGATGGGTACTTCAATGGAAAATGCATATTTTACTGAACTTTGCTGCTGATGGGCCAATTCATACTAAAGTAAATAAAAATGCCCTGTCTAACACCAATTAGGCACAGTGCTCAGTCAGTACAGACATAAATGCATAAATAAAATTAAAATACTTTTGTCAGGCACAGTTAGGATTAACATTAAATCTCTTTTTTTAAGCGAAAATACGTTTAAAAAATGTACATCCAAAACAAAACGTGTTGGTTTTCGTGTTATTTAAATCATACTGAGGTGAGTCAGACTCTGTTTTGTTCAACTGTCCGACGTGCTTTCTCGTTAAGTGTTCAAGCATCACCGAGGTGCTGCCGTGATACGTGAGGACTGCGTTGCAAATAATGCATGTAAACTTTTTATTCGCCGAATCCAGGCTAGAATGCTCCCAAACTTTAGATTTTTTGGCACGCGTAGCTTCTGTGTTGGACGCCGCCATTTCTGTTAGTTGGCGCTCAGCTATTGCGCATGTGTGACTCTCGGCAGAGATTGTAATGAAGTGTGATGCCTCACTCGGTCGGAAAAATCATGGCGACAACGTCAACAATGAAATTCAATGTCGACAATTTCTATTGTCGATATTTGTCGACAACGTTGACGAATCGTTGCAGCCCTAAACTAAGATGGCAACAGCATTTCGTGCACCTGAGTGGCCAATAGGGGGGAGGGTCTATCAATATATATGTCTGTGTTGTGCCCACTCCCCACCCCGTGCTACAAGATGCAGCAAAGACCTTCCAAGTACACCTGGCTGCAGCACACAAAGGGCAGCGTCGGGTCAGTTGTCAGACCCATATGAACCACGGCTGTTACTAGTGTGACAGTGTGAGCGTCCTGTCACAATGTCCCGATTGATCATGCGCCCTGGCTACTTGGCCAAGGGGATGTTCCTTTGGCTGACTGGTTAGAGCGTATGACTCTCACCCGGGAGTCTGGGGATTGAATCCCGCCTGGGCCCTCGTTTATCCACCTTGCCACATTTGGCGTTGTTGGCAGGATCCATGTAGTACTGTCAAGTAGGTCCATGGATGTGAAGTTTGTGGCACCCTGCGTGGGAGCACGAGGACGTGCTTGTGGAAAGAGGGGGGGAGATGTGACAGTGTGAGCGTCCTGTCACAATGTCCCGATTGATCATGCGCCCTGGCTACTTGGCCAAGGGGATGTTCCTTTGGCTGACTGGTTAGCGCGTATGACTCTCACCCGGGAATCTGGGGATCGAATCCCGCTCGGGCCCTCGTTTCTCCATCTTGCCACACTAGTTCAAGTGGTGCTCGCTGCAGAACCACAAAGGCGGAGCTGCACCAGAAGGTGGAGCTGCACCAGAGTCAGCCCCGCCCATTCCAGAATCAGCCCCGCCCATTCTATCGGAGTCAGTCCAATTCCTTCCAGTTGCCAGACTTTATAGCATTCTGGAACCAAAGAGGGTGTTATAACTAAAAAATGCAAGATTGAGGAGGGAGTTGAGAAGTGAATTGAACAGTTTTTGTAAAGGTTCCATATAATTAAAAATCTAACTTTTGGAACTTTTAATCATGTTATATTGTCATTTCCTCATAAGAAACACGCCAAAGCCATTTTTGGCCTCATTCATGCATTTTCTTCCCATCTCAGCTTCAATTTGGTCTCCTCCCCCAATGCGGGTCTGGTCTTGGTTCTCAAATCTGGATATTCTGTGAATTTTCTGACAAATTAATTCTGAAATGACTTCTACTGAGACACCGCCAGAAAAATCATACATCCCATCTACAAAGACACACCAAATAACAAAATAAAATGTAACGCCACCTTACTTTTATCAGATGTGGTGGTGTAGTGGTGATGGTGTCAGGTTGACTTGTAGTTTTGCGCAGGTTCGCCTCCCAGCAGTGGAAATATTCTATAATCTCTTTTCCTCATTTCTAGCTACACTTGCCAGTACTATGTTTACAACAATTTATTGGTATGCCGTTTAACATATAATGACTAATGTGTTTTTTTATTTATTCATTCGTTTATTTAGCCAGTGTGAGTCCATCTGTGAGCAGAGTTTCAACTAAAATGCTGTTTAGGAACGACCAAATTCAAAGAACTTGTAGAGACATAAATATTTTGCTGAAAATGAACATTACAACTAAAATATGAACAAATTAAATGTTTCAGCTGGCTGAATAGATTGTTGCCGACCCCACCGAGAATCGAACCAGCATCAGCTGAGGGGAAAGCAAAACTTAAGTCAGACGATCTTGCCACTGGACTAACAGAACCCACATGGTAGTGGTACATGCTGTTGTACAGGAGTTTTGTTAGAGCGGCTGTGGGCAGATATTCGCTAAGAGAAACCTTTTTATTTCGGGATATATTCAGACTTTGTCATGTAGCAAGTTATATTTATCTTGTTTAATTGGAGCACAGAACATAGCATTAACGACTGTAAACTAGTAACAGCCGTAATTCATGTGGGTCAGGTCAGTTTGCGATAAAGTTGAAAACAAAAACGGAAGTCAGTGGGCTAGGCTGAGTTTGCGTGAATGGGCGGGGTTGACTCTGGTGCAGCTCCACCTTATGGTGCAGCTCCGCCTTTGTAGTTCTGCAGCGAGCACCCTCTCCACTAGTTTGCAATTGTTAATACTCTGTTCTATGTTCGAATTAAGCAAGATAAATATAATTTACCATATGACAAAGTCTGACTTTATACCCCAAAATGAAAACGTTCCTTTCAGCAAATCTCTGCCTATGGCCGCTCTAAGCTTTACTTTTTCTCATCTCTGGTAGTCCGGTGGCGTTATTGATAGACTTTTGTTTCATTTCGCCCTCTGCTGATGCTGGTTCGGCTCTAGGTGGTGTCGGCAGTAATTAATTTAGCTTGCTGAAACAGATTTTATTTATTTATACTTCATTTTTTTATTATTATTTTCTGCAAAATATTTTAGGATCTTTGAAGTTAGTTGTTTCCAAGCAGCATTATGCTCTGCTCACACATGGACTCACACTGACTAAATAAAGAAAGTAAAGAACAATCAGATTAGTCCTTATATTTTAAACAATTTACCAGTAAAGCGTTGAAAACATAATACTGGCAAGTGTTGCTAAAAAAGAAAAAAAAAGGTTAATACCGTGACTGGGAGGCAAACCAGTGCAAAACTATACTCCGCTCTAACACTGTAACCACTACACCACAGAATACAATACAGTATAAGTGGTGCCTAATGGCGTTTGGCATCCTGGGTGTCTTTGTAGACAGGATATATTGTTTTTACAGCGGCGTTTCAGTAGAATTAATTTCAGAAGTAATATTTCAGAATATAGAGGTTTCAGAACCGAGACCAGACTAGCTTCAGGGTGAGGAGAAAGGCCTGGTAGTGAGCTACTTTCTCCCAAATCACAGGTAAAATCTTTACATCGACCACATTTCAGGTTGAGGCAGGAAAATGCATGAATGCAGCCAAAAATGGTTTGGAGGCATTTCTTATGAAGAAATTATAGTTTTAGCGCCCCCTTCAGTTCCGGAACATAAAGAGCGGGTCAATTGAGCCTCTGAGTCCTTCTCCACCCACGTATCAATTTTAAAAAATGCAACATTAGTAGGCGTTGCCTGGAGGATCGAGAGGGCGGAGCCGCGGCAGTGACGAAGACGATGGCTAACTAGACGATGCTAGCTCCCTTCACTCTGAGCAGTTATTAGAAGTGGAGGACGTTTCTCCCCCTCCTTACCCAGACACTCGAGAAGAAAGGGACCAAGTCTATTTGGAGGAGACAAGCGGACCTGAGCCTTATTGTTTTGAGCTTGTGAGTTGCCTGAAACTCCCAGAACCGACCCAACAGAACCACCTCTGAATGGTAAGTAGCCGTTAGCCATAGCATTGGATTAGCTGCAGGGTTTGTCTCCACGGCCCTAGAGCTAGTATTCAGCATGTTTTAGAGGTTTATCTGCTTCAGCACACCTGGTTTTAATCAGCAACAAATAGCTGAGCTGCTTAACAGCTAATCTAACCCATTAAAGCAGGAAAATCCACTGAAACATGCTGGATAGCAGCTCTCCGGTAGCCCTGGGCTCAAGTTACAGTCTGCTGCATAAAGTTATGAAAATACCCCATGAGAAAATTATTCTGTAATGTGTTCAGCTCACTAACACTGCCCTGATTTATTTATTTACTAATAACAGCTGCTCTCTTGGTTCTAGGTCCTCTGGTGTCTGCAGCTGGTCTCTGGTGTCGTCAGGATCAGGAGCTTCCGGAAGAATGTGCCTTTCAATGACTCTTTCTCCCTTATTTGTTATATTAATTAAATAAATCTCAGTTTATATATTTCCTGTTTTTGTTCATGTCCATAAATACTTAAACATGCTTGAAATTAAAACAAGCTTTTAACAGTGAGGTGCTAGTTTAATTCATCACAATAGAGCTAGTTAAGCATGCAACAAAAATGTGATAATCAATGTAATTTATCCATTAAAATATCAAAACAAATCTAAATGAGATATTTGGCAGCACAAAAAACTTGTCAAACACAATATTTATTATAATAATTGTAGGCAGACAGGAGACAGAGCTGATGGAGGTTCTCAGTCATCAAAGGATGGCTGAAGGCTTTCCAGGAACAGGAGATGTGGTGTTGTCTCTTCTCTCTCTATTCTGCCAGATGAGCTGATAGGTTACAGGTGTGTGAGGACATCCTCATGCTGTCATAACCAGATGACAGGAGTTATCAGGTTATCAGCCAGGCTAATGATGAGATGCAGAAAGAAAACAAATCCAGGACAGTGTACAATAATATGTGGTGTTGCTCACCTTATGTGCTCTTATAGAATATTAACGTGTGCCTGCCTCATGGTGTAGAGTCCATATTTTGCTGAGTGTCCTGCAATAATGCAGGTTATTAGTTAACTTACTTTTGATAGCAAAAACAAAATATTTAATGTAAAAGTTATTTACCAGGTGAATCAGCTCACATGTCACCACCAAGTGTCACAGGGGCAGAATCAGTAGCCTCCGTCATGATGTAATCACATACTTATTTAATTGTTAATATCTTAAAAATTCTGAAATGTTTTAATTTTTTTTTTACCTTGAACAGTTCACTGAGCTTGCACTGTCACTGAGGTGGAAGCTGGAATCAACAGCAGACACCTCACATCTTGGTCTTTTCAGGGGATGTGGACGCTGCTCTGAGACTTTCTGGAAGATGAATTTTCATCATGGTCCCTGTGGGTCACCAGACACACTGCGGCTGAGAACTCAATTCTGGCTGGCTATGTAAAAACAAAGAAGCAGCACATTTATAAATGTTTAAAAGAGCATAAAATCACGTGTAACAATAATCTGTAAAACAAATTAAAACTAGAAGGTAATAATAAAATGTTTACATAGAAGATTATTAAAAATAATTCACCTTTGCTACAGGTAAGGCTTCACGTCTGCCTGGACAAGTGCATTCTTGCAGCTAAATCAGTCTGACACCCAGTGTCTTGGGTAGATTTAGCCTGAAAATAAAAGAAGCACATTGTTGTCGGAGTTTATAAAGTCAGATAATATACAAAAGAAACTGTCCTATATAGGCGCTTTATAACATTCCTAGTGTGTGATCGTTGTTATAACGTAAAAGTCAGTCACATATGATGTGGAGAGCCTGAAATGTGACCTCCTGAACAGAATTCCTTACAGAACCGAGTCACAAGCTGGATTTCACGCTGTAATGCTGTCTGTCAACTAGTGCTGCGTCAGTTAGAGCCACTGTTGCAGAATTACCGACTGACTAGCTAAAGGAAGTGAACCACGTCTCTCAGACTTTGCATTTAGGTAGGAAATTGTCTTTAGAAGATGTTAAAACGTTTATTTAGTGTACTCACCTCAGACTGGAGCCCGCCGTGGTGGGGGAGCAGAGTCGGTGGGCTGCATCTAAATCGCGGAAGAGCCACCGTGGGCACAGCCTCCCTCTTCAAACGGAGGCGTGCAGAATCGCGGGTAAAATGCCCACAGAGCTACCGCAACCATACTACACTACACCATCTCACCATGCTAACACGATATGGAGCACTAAACCCAAACTACTTTCCCAATTACACTAACAGCCAAACACTAACCAAACTACAATATCCAACAGCCAAACTAACACTAAATAAGTATTTATAACACTAAAAGCTATGCTAAAGACTAGGATATGCTAATGCTATATGCTAATGCTGAACTACCGCTGACCTCGCTTGCAAATCCAACTCCCACTCGCCACAGGGCGTGGCCGAGACGCTCGATGCTTTTATAACTTTGGCACGGAGCTGCTACGTAGTACTCTACTGGTTTACGTAGTATTTTACTCTTTAGCCATTGGCTAAAATTTATTCAAAATGACTCAAATTCTATGTTTTCAGCTGAAGGTGGCGCATTACTGTGGTTTTTAGACAGAATTTTTAATTTTTAAAGAAAATGCACCAAAATGCTAAAATAAAGAATGCACACATTTAAAACACTATTAGACACTCATTTATACAGTTCATCATAAAAAAAAAGTTAATTTAGACGTTACTTGCTCTTTAAGCGTTGCGTTTTCCAAATATGGTATGAGTCTGAAAACTGGCCCGACCCCGCCCCTTTCTGCGTGCTGCAGCCAGGTCCTTCTGTTGAGCGAAGGAGCTGATTGGCTGACAGAAAGATATCCTGTCACATCGGCAGCTGGTTGGCTGGCCGAACGCAGCGGATCCGCCTGTTATCTTTTCTCAGGATGAAAGTCATTTTCCATCCAGACTAGACAGAAAATAAACAAAGAAACAGAGAACCGAGAGCCTGGAGGAGGCTCGGCATAGTCCGAAAGGCCAGCAGAGCAATACGAGCTAAATACGTTAACCACATCCGGTTTGTTTCACCGCCAGCGCTTTAAGGTAGGTCTCCGTTAGCTTTGTTCCAGCTCGGGTAGTTCGAGTCCAGTCTCAGACACCGGGGGATTCTGGGTTTCTTTACCCAGGCCTCTGTTCAGACACCTGTGTCTCTAGCTATAGTTGTATACTACTTCTCCTTCTCTAGTGTGCTGTAGAGAACTCGGGTCCAGCTGGAAATGTGCTGCTGGGCCATAGAGATCATGCCTGGGTTAGCTGAGCACACGGGAGGGGAGAGTCAACACAGGCTTCACATCTAGTTCCGCTGCCACATGCATACAAACTTCTGACAAGAGCTGCAGAAAACATTTATTTTTCAGACTTCTTCTCCTTACCGAACCAGCATGCTGGCAGAAAAATAAATGCCAATTCCTGCATTCTGCTGCATTTACACAGGTTGTTAAACACAGTGCTTAATTTGAGCCGGATCTTGCTGGAACAAGATCCGGGAACTATCTTATTTTGAAAGGACCGTTCAGGCAACTGTCTGCTAGGATCCGGTGTTGTGCCCAAAAGTGATCGTCTGCCAGAAACTGATTGCCGTCCGCGGGAGCGCGCGCAGCTGCTTAAAGCTGCAGCGCCTGGATTACTTGCGTTGCCAGCTACTTCTGTGCAACTGATATAACGTATAACTGCTGGGTAATCTTTAAGGGAAAAATAAAACTGATAATATGCAATTTCCAACCTGCCAAAAAGTGATTGTGGACTATAACTTGTCAATGTAATACTATTTCTGCTTCAAACTTGGTGAATGTCATTCAGAACCGTCATGTGTGACCTACTATATCTCAAACAGTCCATTAGAACTGCTGAATAAACTTTAAGGTGACAGTAAAACTGACAATGGGCAATTTTTAAGCTGCCAAAAGGTGATTGTGGCCTATATCTTGTCTCTGAAACAATATTTCTGCATCAAACTTGACTGATATCATTCAGAAGGATCATATGTGACACATTATATCCCAATCAGTCTCTAATGACTGCTGAATAACTTTTAAAGGATCATTAATACCCATAATATGCCATTTTCAGCCTGCCAAAAAATGATTGCGCCCTATAACTTGTCACTGAAACACTATTTCTGCTTCAAATTTGGTGAATGTCATTCAGAACCATCATATTTGACATATCTCAAACAGTCCCTTACAACTGCTGGATAATCTTTAAGGGTAAAATAAAACTGATAATATGCAATTTCCAACCTGCCAAAAAGTGATTGCTGCCTATAACTTGTCACTGAAACAATGTTTCTGCATCAAACTTGACTGGTATCATCCACAAGGGTTTTATGTGACACATCATATCTCAAACAGTCTCCAAGGAGTGCTGAATAACTTTTAAAGGAACATTAATACCCATAATATGACATTTTCGACCTGCCAAAAAGTGATTGTGGACTATAACTTGTCAATGAAATACTATTTCTGCTTCAAACTTGGTGGATGTCATTCAGAACCGTCATGTGTGACCTACTATATCTCAAACAGTCCATTAGAACTGCTGAATAACCTTTAAAATAACATCGATACCGATAATATGCCATTTTCGCCTGCCAAAAAGTGTTTAGAAAATAAATTCTTACCTTTTATAAACCTGACTCTGTCTGAATTGATACAAAGTGTGTTTGATCCCTGAAAAAGCAAAGAATCCTAGAATCGTCTGATTAAACCTTCAAAGACCAATCAGGTTGATATTCTACATTTATATAAAAAATCACCGCTTATTGGTCATAAGTAAACGTAATATATTAAGCTTAAAAGCAACTATATTTAAACCTACATAAAAATCTCAGCTGATTCTGTTTACAAAAGCAAGACTTATTGCCGTTTTTACTTTTCGTAGCTCAGTAGTAATTCCCCACATGATCATGACATCACCCTCTGTTGCGGCAAGGCGTAATATGCATTCATAAGTCTGACATTGTGGCAATATTACTACCAAGTTAGAGGAATGAATGTATCAAAATTCCTGCATGACAATGCCACCGCGGCACATTCATAAGACACACCTTTGCTGCAGTATTACGCTGATGTTCCGGCATGGTGGGTCTTATAAAAAGGGCTTGTGTCTCCCACTGCCACACTTAACCTTATTGTGGTTTTGTGATTGTCCCCACAGTCGTCATGAATCACAACCCAAGCCAACACCTGTCTGAAGGTGGGAAGGAACCTGTTGGTGGCCTGCTGTGTGGCCTTGGTCTGGGATCTGACCGGGGGATGTGCTCCCCGGACAGCCTTGTTTACACCCCCAGCCCTACCGAGGATAACACCAGCTCTAGCCCCCCGCTGCTGCTGTCTCCTGGGCTGGGAAGCCTCGGGCTTGGCTCTCTGGTTGAGGGAGCTGGAGCCGACTGGGAGAGCAGAGAGGAGCTGAGACTCCGAGAGCTAGAAGAGGCTCGTGCAAGAGCGGCTCAAATGGAGAAGACCATGAGGTGGTGGTCAGACTGCACTGCCAACTGGAGAGAGAAGTGGAGCAAGGTGGGTTCATCTTCAGTTCTCCTCATTGTTCCAAACGCTTTAATGTTGTCTTCAATTAGGATAAAGGACTTTTAGGTTGGTGTGGTCCCTGTTTCAGGTTCGTGCTGAACGAAACAGAGCACGTGATGAGATCCGTCAGCTCAGGCAGCGGTTGGACACCTTGACCAAGGAGCTGACCAGCGTACGGAGAGAGCGCCAGGAGCTCACCTCAGAGAATGAGACGCTGCGCCAGGAGACACTGCGCCTCCGGGGCGACATCCCACCTCACCATGCCACCTCTACGTCTCCCTCCTCCTCCCCCCTACACTCTCACATCACGTCCTCCTCTTCTTCCTCATCTGTTCCTCCTTCCTCCTCTGCATCTTCCCTCTCTTCTTCTAAGGCCAACGCGAACTTTAAACCTGACGGGGCTGTGGATGGACCACCAGGATCTCCAGAACCAGAACCAGTGAGAGATGTGGATCTAAACAGGCAAAAGATAGGTCAACAAAAGGTGAGGTTCCAGCATTTTTGTGCTCCCAAAATTTATTTGCTCTGAGTATGACTAGGGTGACTGAGGTTAAGGGAGGATCTGTCAGGATCGGCTCTGGAGTGGTTCTTCTCTCATCTGTCTGAGCATTCCTTCTTTGTGGCCGTCTCCAAGTTTAGGCCCTCCACCACATTCCTCTCTGGTGTCCCACAAGGTTCTGTGCTGGGGCCTCTGCTCTTCCTCCTCTATCTGCTTCCTCTTCAGCACATCCTGAGCTCCTTCAAAGGAATCTCCTACCATCTTTATGCAGATGACATCCAACTGTACATCTCCTTTAAGCCCCATGAGATGTCTAAGCTGCAGCTGTTACACACCTGCTTAGACTCCATCAAAACCTGGATGGCTGGGAGCTTTCTTCAGCTGAATGAAGATAAGACTGAGATCCTCATCTGTGCCCCAGACAAGCTGGTTCCCAAAGTCAGAGACTCTCTTGGCCAGCTTGCTTCTCTCACCAGACCTTTGACCCAGCTCTCACCCTGGATTCTCATGTCATTTCTCTTGTTCGCTCTTCCTTCTTCCATCTCAGGAACATTGCTAAGCTGAGTCCCATTCTGTCTCGCTCTGAACTTGAGAAAGTTCTCCACACCTTCATCTCCTCACGCTTAGACTACTGTAACTCTCTTTTCACGTGTCTGAGCAGAACCTCCCTGAACCGTCTACAGGTGGTTCAGAATGCCTGTGCTCGGCTTCTGACCAAGTCCTCTAAACACACCCACATCACCCCGCTTCTCCTCCGGCTTCACTGGCTGCCAGTCAACTTCAGGGTTCATTTCAAGATCCTAGTTCTGGTCTATAGGGCCCTACATGGACAAGCACCATCTTACATTGGTGATCTTCTTAGTCCCTACACCCCCAGCAGGTCCCTGAGGTCCAGTAATCAAAGCCTACTGGTTGTGCAGCACCAGGCTAAAGACCAAAGGTGACAGATCATCTGCTGCTGTGGCCCCCAGACTCTGGAACTCTCTCCCCCTGAGCCTGAGATCAGTGGGCTCAGTGGTCTCCTTTAAAAAGCAGCTGAAGACTCACCTGGGGTCTCATTTATCAAGCTTGCTTACGCACAAAACGGGGTCGGAAAACTGCGTAAGCAACTTTCCACACAAACTTTGGGATTTATGAAAGAAAACTTAGCGGAAAAATGTGCGTAACTTTAAATTGACTAAGGACCTCGCTTACACACATGTTGGACATGGAGAGCACCTGCAGTGCTGCTGCTGAGAAGATACAATTATGAAATCCTGCAGCATTATCACTTGTACTGCTTCGTTTTCACACAGAACAAGACCCCCCACACGCACACACACGCGCGCACACTCACACACACACACGCACACACACACATGCGCGCACACTCTCACACACACACACACACACACACACACACACACACACACACACACACACACACACACAGCCTGAAGCGCAGAATAAGGAATGCAGAATATCAGCAGGGGGGCAGATTGAGACAGGATGTCATGCGTCTGTGACTGTGTGTGTGTCCTGTCACTGTGACCCGATTGATCATGTGTCCTGGCTACTTGGACAAGGGAGATCTCCATTTGGGTGACTGGTTAGTGTGCATGACTTTCACCCGGGAGTCTGGGGATCGAATCCTGATCGGATAATTTTTTTTATATCCGCCACAGATTTCTCTGAAGAACTCACAACATTGACGGCTTCAGCAACACTGTGCCACTCCGTGGGATTTCTCTTATTTGTTTTGCAAAAGCACTTCCTTTCATTTCTCCACCTCACCCACAAGTACCTCAACTTTTGCTTCTGTGAAATTGCGCTTCCTTGATCTGCCTTGATCTACGGTCGCCATGTCATTGGCGGAGCGCTGCAACAGCCGGCTTATGTATATGCATGAGATCCACAAGGCACTTTGCATTGACTATTTATTGCAGTAAGTGGGCGTGGTGAGGGCGGGATGTGACTAAAAGCAGCTGAGAAACATTCTCGTCTGTCTCTGATTTATGAAGCGGAGATTGCGTGCAGCTGTGCGTACTCCATGTTTGATAGATCTCAAACCTACTTGGCATAAGTACTTTTTTTTTGCTGAGCTTAAGTACGGTTTTAGTAAGGATTCTACGCAATGTTTGATAAATGAGACCCCTGTTCATGCTTTGGTGTGACCTTCATCACCCTCTCCATGTTCCACCTTTACCGGGATCCATTGATTTCCCTCTTTCCTATTTATTTTATCTCTCTCTTTCCTTACTTTTTTTTCTCCTTTTACACATATTTTTAATCATTTTAAAAATCTTTTTTATACTTCCATACATCCATTTTCATCCGCTTATCTGGAGTCGGGTCGTGGGGGGTAGCCTAAGTCAAGAGTCCCAGACTTCCCTCTCCCCAGCCACTTGGGCCAGCTCCTCCGGGGGAATCCCAAGGCGTTCCCTGGCCAGGTGAGAGACTTATGGGCCATTCCCATCTGTACCGGGTCGGCCCGGGCCGGGTAGCCCCAGTCGGCCCCAGCCTGGCCCGGTTGATTCCACACATCCTTGTCTTAAGCCCATGTGGGCTGATTCTACCCACCAATCAGAGGCTTGCTCTAATGGAAGGTGTGAATTTGCTGTCAGCAGTGGGTGTGTTGGCCCTGGTCGGCCTGAAGCAGACCCCCTCGAGAAGAGGGCTGAGAATGAGCCTCAGTTGGCCCGGAAAAATACCAGGCCACCCAGATATGTAAACAACCTACGCTACCCGGCCCGGGCCGACCCGGTACAGATGGGAATGGCCCAATAGTCCCTCCACCGTGTCCTGGGTCTACATTTAGGTCTCCTCCAGGTTGGACGTGCCCGGAAAACCTCACCAGGGAGGCGTCCAGGAGGCATCCTGCCCAGATGCCCGAGCCACCTCAACTGGCTCCTCTCGATGTGGAGGAGCAGCGGGTCTACTCCGAGCCCTTCCTTGATGACCAAGCTTCTCACCCTATCTCTAAGGGAAAGCCCAGTAACTCTGCGGAGAAAACTAATTTTGGCTGCTTGTATCTGCGATCTCGTTCTTTCGGTCACTACCCAAAGCTCATGACCATAGGTGAGGGTAGGAATGTAGATCGACCGGTAAATCGAGAGCTTCGCCTTCTGACTCAGCTCTCTCTTCACCACGACAGACCGGTACAACGCCCGCATCACTGCAGATAAAGCACCAATCCGCCTATCGATCTCACGCTCCAGCTTTTCCTCACTCGTAAACAAGACCCCGAGATACTTAAACTCCTCCACTTGGGACAGGACCTCATCTCTGACCTGGAGAAGGTGTTCTATCCTTTTCTTACTCAAGACAACGGTCTCAGATTTAGAGGAACTGATTCTCATCCCAGCTGCTTCACACTCGGCTGCGAACCGCTCCAGCGAAAGCTGAAGATCACATTCTGATGAAGCCAACAGGACCAAATCATCGGCAAAAAGCAGAGACCTGATCCTCAGGCCACCAAAACGGATGCCCTCCATACCTTGGATGCGCCTAGAAATCCTGTCCATAAAGGTTATGAACAGAATCGGTGACAAAGGGCAGCCTTGGCGGAGTCCAACTCTCACTGGGAACGAGCCCGACTTACTGCCGGCAATGCGGACCAAGCTCTGACACCGGTCATCCAGGGACCTAACAGCCCGTATCAGAGGGCCTGGTACCCCATTCTCCCGGAGTACCCCCCACAGGCCCCCCCGAGGGATGCAGTCACACGCATTCTCCAAATCCACAAAACACATGTAGACTGGTTGGGCAAATTCCCACTCACCCTCCAGGATCCCCCTAAGGGTATAGAGCTGGTCCAGTGTTCCACGGCCAGGACGAAAACCACATTGTTCCTCCTGAATCTGAGGTTCAACAATCCAACGGACCCTCCTCTCCAGAACCCCTGAATAGACCTTACCAGGAAGGCTCAGGAGTGTGATCCCCCTGTAGTTGGAACACACCCTGCGGTCCCCCTTTTTAAATAAGGGGACCACCACCCCGGTCTGCCAGTCCAGTGGGACTGCCCCCGATGTATCTGTGTGTGTGTGTGTGTGTGTGTGTGTGTGTGTTTCAAATGAATCCTTTTGAAGTTGCCTGACATCCAAAAGCTTTCAAAGTAATTGACAGCTCCTCTCAAGTTCCCACACCCTTAATTATGTTCAATTACACAGAATAGGAAGTCGGGGCTTCAGTTTCTTTTTCAACTATTCTTTAATGTTCTTTAAAACAACACAACTCCACAAAAAATAGGCGTTCCTCTTGGCTTTATATTTCTTGCTTGATCGTGCTGCTTCCAATAGGGCCTTCTGCGTAAGTGCATAGCTGTAGAATTCCTTACAACTGAACTCAAAGTTGGTCTTGACTTGAATTTCTCTCTTGATAAGCTCTACAAAGCAACGGTTCCTCTGGACATTCCACGCTGCCGTCATGAGGGAAAAGACTCTCTCCACAGAAGCATTGGTTATGGGAATGCTGAAGAGAAAGGATGCAACAGCAAAAGCCACACTTTTCCAAAACAGGAGCTCTTCTTTCTACAATGGCCTGCTGGCGTGGCAGAGTCACATGTAGTTCATCCATGTCCACTTCCTCCCTTATTTGTAGGACCTCCACAGCATCAGTGAGCTGAGAGAATGTGAACCTGCTCTTCAGTGCCAAACATGCGACATCCTTCTGATAGTTGCTGTCTGTGAAGTCATACTAGTTTTCCAGGTAGTTGAGTGCAGTTTGGTAGGAGTTGGAAAAATCCTGTTTGATTGTTGCTGCCTTTTGCTCAGGAAACTGTTGGATAATAGCACTGGTCTCCACTCCAGTAGACTTCAATGCTGACACTTACATCTTCTTCAATTTGTACAGCACAGTCTAATAAAGGCAGTTTGTTGTTGTGAGCATCCTCCCTAGTGAACTTGATGTTCTTGTCCATTGTGTTAATGTGCTTCCTGCCTGAGAATTTTGACCCATGTGTCGTCCACATATCTGAGCCAGTGGCTTTCTGTTGTTCCATTGTAGTA